ATCGACCAAAATGGGACAATTTATGCCGCGATAGAATTCGTGCTCTAAACGATTTTGCGGCAATTTAGTCCATTTTAGAACTAGTTCCAAATTGAGTTGAGGCAACCTATTTGATCTTTTTAATGCTTTGCTATATGCAAATGATAAAGCTTTGCGCTTAAAATAGCGTGTTGGGCGAAAAAAAATTCAGAGCAAGCACTATTATATAGAGCTTATGAGGCATTTGGAACATTCAGGGCATCGCGCTGATACGAGCAGTATTCTTATTGTTATTGCAGTTATGAACAATCTCGTTTTTTTTTAAACTCGATTCGTCATGTTCATATGGTAATACGGTCATAAAAAAAATCTTAATCTAATAAAACTAACGGGCTTAGCGTCTACATATGATTTTTTACTAATGACAGCTTCTAAAGGTTTGTCAAAGAAAACAGGCCGACACTTTCAAAGTTTTCGATTTTTAATAGAAACAAATTAAATTACGAAATATTTGTTTCAAAGGTTCCATTAGGATTTATTGTTCCGACTAATCTAGGAATCGCATAAATATCAAATTATGGCTACCATTTGCTAAAGAGCTTTGATTGGGGTTTTAATTTTAACTGTCGAATGAATGGTTTAAATTGGCATCATATTTTTTATAACAACTTCAAATGAATTACGATCTATTAAACTTTAGTGAATTTGAAGTTCAGGGTAGTTAGTATATTTTGTCTACAAAGTGTCTTAAAAGCGAAGCGAAGGAACCCCAGCGGTATGGGTATAATAATTGGAACACCCTTCAACTTAATTTTGATTAATGGGGTTGAACTCGTTGGTCCACCGTAAGTGATCCACATGTAAAACATGATATATTGAGACGTGTTTACAAACCCAAAGTATTTAAATTAATGCGGAATTGATTGCTCTTTATTGAATGAGAGTGTTTCTTTTCCGTTTGCCGTCCATTGCACCTAAAACATCAAACATTGTCTCAATCTAAGTTTACGATCTGAGGAAGAACTTCAAAGGCCTGAAAAGTTATTGTTTGCGACCCTTATTGAATTGAATAAATAATTTTTAGCTCTTGAACTTCATTCGATTAGAGATATGGTCTTCTGGCGAACCTAGAAAATTCATGAGGGGGCGGGGGTAGTGATGTTCAAGAAATGCTTGAAAATCTGTACTTAAAATCAGCAGTTTCATTGTTTTGAGCCTTGCCTTAAAACCAACATGACTGTTTGTATCAGGGCAAAGCACTGAATGGTCCGACTGCCTTTTAAGGTCTATGGAGCAGCAATAACATACAATTTAAATCTAGAAAAAAGATATGAATTTTTTTTCTACATTTGAGGTTTTTTTGTGAAAACCATACCTCTACACTTCTAGGTTTCCTTTCTAATAGATTTTGCTCCTAGTAACAAATCAATGTTGGCAAACAAGCTTACTTCAACCAATAAGGAACAATTTCTGCGACGGATTTAGTATCCGTTTATGCGTTAATAGCGGGAAATACATCTCTCGTTAATTGTCCCAAATTGGCCAATAATTTCTAAACCCTGTAACTTTATAAAAAATAATCACAAGTGATTTATTTTATAAAACTGAAGCTCAGGGCAACAATACCTTTTGAAAAAAAGTCCGACAAAAATTGCTTGTTAGAACAAGAAAATTTGTCAGCCTAAAAAAACCATCCCGAGCACAAATATTTCGTTACTTTCGTTACAACTGTCGGAAAAACAAGACTGCCCTTATCATGTCAAAGCCTTGAATGTTTGGACTGCCCAATAACTGGCTCACTATCTGATAATATCAAATTTTAAGTGTTAAAATTTGAGTCGTGTATGGAATTACTAAAATCAACAAGACTGCTCGTATCAGGGTGATTTCTAAGACGGATTAAATCTCCGCTAACGCGTTAATAGCGCGAATTATATCGCGCTTTAATTGTCCCAAATTGGCCAAATTGACAATTTTTAAACCCCCGTAACTTTACGAAAAATGATCACGGGTGAAATACCTTTTCAAATTTGAGCTCAGGACAACAATACCTTTCGAAAAATATAAAAAAATTCCGTCAAAAATGGCTAGTTAAAAAGTCGAAATTTGTCTGAAGAAAAAAAAAACCACCCCGAGCACAAATATTCCGGTACTTTCGCATCGAAAGTCGGAACAATTAGCTCGCCTTAATTCAATTTGGGATGACTTTGTGGTGCGGGATAAGTTGACGCGCGTAAATAATAAAACGAACAAATTAGTTACAACTCACTTCACGGACAGCAATAAGGCAGAGATTATATCGCCTTTGAATTGTCCCAATTAGCCATACCTGCAATGTTTAAGCCCCCATAACTCTAGAAAAATTAGTCACAGGCAAAATGTTTTTTAAATTTTGAGCTCAGAACAACAATAATGAAAGGGTGATATAGGAAGTTTTGTCAAAAAAAGCTAAACATAAGTCGAATATTGTCCGAAGAAAAAAACCACCCCGAGCACAAATTTTCCGTGAAGTTCTCTACAGTGAATTTATCTATTGTCAAGTGACAATTTTTAGAATTAGAATTCAGATTGACATTTGTTGATTTTGCTCTTTAACACTTTTTAATCCGCATCATTAGTAGTATCATTACGAGATATCTCAGATCTCAGTCGCACTAATGGTACCCTTCGCAGTTCCCTAATTGCATGGGTTTCGCCCAGGTAGACACAATTAAAAATAATAACTTCCGACATAATTCTATTTGAATTATCTAATTAAACCGTCATTTTGTGATCCAATTTGAAAGCAACAATGCAACTTGGAAATGTGAAGAACTAATTTAAAAAGAACAAAAATTAAGTTTTCCTATTTTGCTTCATTACGGGAAAGTGCAATGTGTTACACTGGCTTTTATATGAAAATTGTTTTATTAAAAATTACAAGCAAATAATTTTGAATAAAACTGATTTTTTCAATTCATGCGAAATGAAAAAAAAAACAAGCCCCGGTCAGGACCTGAAACTCTATGTTCCTGAGCTTCAAGCTATCTGCTACACTATTTTCATCGGGTTTTTTTTCTGTTATGCGGTCTAAAGTTAACAAAATTTTCGGTAATTGAACCAGTGTTTTCAATGAAAATCTAAACAAATTTTAATTGGCTGGAAGTATTTACAACCAATCAGACTAGAGCATTTTTATCCAATTTTCAAAGTGTGAAAAAAATCAAATTTGAGCTGTATAAAAGAAAAGCCCCTTTCATCTGACAATGTGTTTAGCAAGAATTTGATTTGAAAAAAATGTATGAATATCAGTGTCTTTTTATTCGATTTTCTTGGCAATAAAATCATGGATTTAAAAACGAATTGGTTCAGAAGGAAGAAGAAACCATCTAATCAGGTGTCTAACTTAAAAAAACTGAGCCATGACATTATATCACTTTGTTTTTATACAATAGGGCAGAAGTTTCATTTTTTTTGCTTAATTTTCGGATTATATTTTATTCAACAAGGGAGCATCTAAGAAAAAAGCTATTGTTAGTAAATTTTTTTGGAAATTGGCCGCATTTTTCTAAAGCAACAGAAAATAGGCTAAAGGCAGGGGCGGATCTAGGATTTTCTCGAGGGGGGGCGGATTTTCAAAAAAAATTCCAAAATTTTGACGACCTTTTTTTTGTAGGTCGACCAAATTTTGACAAAAAAATCGCGTTTTTTGGCGCGCGCTCCCCCTCAAAGTTAGTATATATTAGCGCCGAAGAAATTTAGGGTCGGTCGGCCAAAAATGGATTTCTGAAAAAGTGTCAAAGGGGGGACCCTTTGGGTCGGCAGGGGGTCGAATCCCTGAGGGAAAAGAGCGTCTACTCCCCCCGCCCCACCCCCCCCTAAATCCGCCCCTGGCTAAAGGTCAACAAAGTTTCATTGTCAGAATTGAGAACCCAAAAAGATAATTTGTGCAACTTGTGAAATGTTGAGGAGAACTTTCCACCATCAGCGCCGTTAAATAGTGTATACGGCCCTTACAATGGCGCGCGCAAAACTTTTTGGCAGTGGAGGGTTTGAAAATTTTTGAGGTTTTTTGAAATTTCGAGTTCTGCTGAAACCCCAGAAATATCATCTTTGCCATATTAGTTCCCGGTTTTTTTTGGGTGGGGGGGGTCGTTTTTGAGCTTTTTCGGAAGTTTTCGACAAAATCATCACGTAGTTTCTGCGCCGCGCTTCCCTCTCAAATTTATTATTCAAGGACAGAATTGAGACGACCAGAGCTGAGAGAGTGAGGGGGGGGGGGGGGGGGTTGGTCATAATTTGATATGCTTAAGCAAAGGGGTATTTTCTACTTCCTCAAAAGTAAAAGCACTCAAATATCTACAAAAAATGACTGACAAAAAGAAAGCTTTACCCGGTCGAGTTCTGCGATTACCTTCAGTTTTTTTTATGACTAGCCGAAAGAATTTCATTCTGTGACCTAAATTTCATATTCGGTGTAGGGTTTTATAGACGCGGACGATTTGGGCACATATCAGCACATTATGGTTGCGATAGTCTGAGAATTAATTGCAAAAGCCTGTAAATTAATTTAGTGGCGACAGCCTGGAAAAAACTCTGAACCTGAGAAGGAAAATTTATAATGCTAGATATGACTATCACACTAAGGTTTTGAATAGAAAAAACTAGCTCTGAATGATTCCATACTACGCTTATCTTAAACTTGGCACAAGTATGATAGTTGGGTCCCTTGAAAATATATAATAGGTCCCTAATTGTCACACCTGTGCGCCTGTACCTCAAACTACGCTAGTCTAAAACTGCGCTCAAACTACGCTTTTCGAAGCAGGAAAAATGAGAAAAGTTACAGAATTTTTCGGAAAATATCACAAAAACGTTTTAAATAAAAAAACTACGCTCTGAGTGAGGCTATGTTATTAGACTTAAATACAAAACTATCATATAAGTCTCCACTTATGTTCGAACCACACTCGCACACATATCACGACCTGAGACATTTCGGAGAGGGTTTATTATGCTATTTTCATAATTGCTGTTTGTAGATGTTTCTGATGTACCAGACCCTGATGGTGTTTGTGTCCATTTACACCATAGTGGCCATGACCATTGACAGGTACTTGGCAGTTGTCCGGCCCATAGAGTCCATCAACTACAGGCAAGTACACCAGCCATTACATCACATATTATGTAATCAAAAGGAGCTAATGCGAGAATATCACACGATTACCCGGGTTGACGTCCATAGAAAGAAAACCCTTGTCATACAATTTCATATATGGCGTCTATGAAAAAAATGCTTGTCATACAATTTTCATCAAAAGTTTAAAAACTGTTTAAAAAATTGTTAATACACCTTTTTATTCTATTTGGCCATTTAAAGCTTTCTGGTCATGTAAAATATGATGAAAAAATTTTGGATGAAAAAATGCTTATTATACAATTTTCATGGATGAAAATTGTATGATAAGCTTTTTGTTATAGAATTTTTCTCTTCAAAAAACTCTAAAAACATGTGTGGTTTATTACATATGAAGTTGTTGAAGGCTTTCAATGGCAAAGAGTATTTAACTATCAAAAACACGATTTTAAATTTCTTCGAAAAAAGCTTATCTTTAACTTTCATATATGAAATTGTACGATAAACATTTTTTTGAGAAAAATTAGAAAATTCAAAAACCATTTGAAGCCTTGTTTGTAGTCAAAAGGAGCTAATGCGAGAATATCACACGATTATGTAATCAAAAAGAGCTAATGCGAGTCAAGCAGTACAGTAAAAAAAAAGTTTCCTCAAATAGGACGACAGACATTTTAGCATATCAGATTTTTGATATTTTATTTATATCTCTATGTCTGAGCAGTTTGAAGTCAAAATTGGGCCTATTTTGAGCAAAAAAGGGCAAGTTATGTATTGAATTGCTCCAAATCGGCCCAATTTTGACTTTAAGCTGCTTGGGCTGGGAGATATGTACAAGCTTTTAAAAATTAAAAACTGAATTTCAAAATGAATTGGAGTTTTTCTTGCTTTGACAAATTAATTTTGTAAAAAAATGTCTATTTATTTATTAACTTTCTTCTACAGTCACGGGATATGAAAACTACCAGTTTTCGCTGACAATTGATATGTTGAATGAAATTTTTTTCACGTTTCCGCAGTTTTCTTGTCAACTACTGAAGATTCACATTTAGAAAATTTATATATGGTGGATACAACTGTTATTTTAAAAAAAAAAAACAGCTGAGAAAAAAATTTATAAAATTTTTTTCGAGGTGTTTTTGACCCTTCGGCGTCGGAGAGGTGTACGTAGGGCAAAAAATTCTGTAATCAGCCAAAGCAGTTTGAAATTCTGGACTAAAAATTGATAGTTGGAAAAGTAAGGATACAAATTAAGCCCTCTTTTAGGTTTCCTTTCAATAAAAAAGAATACAAAAAACTTGAACAGCTACGAAATAAAAATCAACTTGAAAACTAAAGTTTTATGTCCCGTGACTGTGTAACTCATGGTTTAACCAGCTATAGGAGATAGGTTCGAGTGATAGTTTTCACGCATAATTATATGCCAAAATACCTTGATTTGATTTCTTATTATGTTTTTATACTAAAACCGCATCAGTCGCAATTATTTATTCAATTATTATTTAAAACACTGATCTTGTTTTTTCAACTCTCTAGTGCAAAAAAGAGCGGCTCGTTAACAAGATCAAGTCAGACATACAAAATCTCAATTTTCAATGTTATTCAAGACATGCAAAACTGATCGTGTCAAGGCGAAAAGCTGAACATTCCGACGGCATTTCACTGTCTATGGAGAAGTATTCGTTTAGATAAAAATTGATGGAACTTTAAAAAAACAATTTCCCCGCAATCTTTGCTTATAAATACAATATATTACTTTTAGCATATAGCTAAACAGTAAATAGATCAAATAGCATGCCTCCAATAATTCAATTTGGAAAGATTTCTTAGACGGATAAAATCTCCGCTTAAGCGTTAATAGCACAAAACTGCGCGTTAATTATTCCAAATTGGCAATCTTTAAACCTCCATAACTTCACAAAAAGCAATCACAAGAGACACATTTTTCTGAATTAGAGCGCAAGGCAACAATACCTTTCGAATGATTTAAAAAGTTTGTCAAAAAATGTTAGTTAAAAAGTCGAAATTCTTGTTTGGAGAAAAAAACATCCCGAGCACAAATTTCCCGTCACTTTTTTTTTCGAAAATTGGAACTATCAACAACAAGTTAAGCAAGCTTACTTGATATCCTCCCTATCATGCTACTTAGAATAACGAAAAGTCTAAAATTTTATTTATTTTTTCGTTTTCAACAAAAATGTTCTAAGAAATTTGTGTGATGAGAACAATAAGCTATTTTCATGAAAGCGGTTGTTTTTATTTCACCTTTGAAATTTTTATGTAAGACTTTAAAAATGATTTTAAAAAAAATAATTTAAGGAGGCACTTAGCACAGTGGTAAGGTGTTCACTTTGAAATCGTCAGATCGTGTATTCGATCCCATGCCATGGAAATGATAGTGTGTGAGGACAAGCTCTCACTTGACCTCCAGCTTCAGGTCTACCAAAACCTGACCAAATTTGGCTGCAATAGTGGTACCACGTAAAAGTTCTGGACGCAAAAAAAACTGCTTCGCTCAGCAAAATAACACTGTCTGGAATGTGGGGAGATATTACAAATGGACTATCCTCTACAGGACTGTTAAGGCGTACTGATAGCCCATCTGCGATTCGCAGGAACTACAATTATTATTATTCATTTTAACGGGATTAAATTCAGAAAAAGGAAGGTTGTACTTCAGTTGTGTTTTATTAATAGATTGATTTAATAAGGAAACAAATATCAAATATTTCTGAAACCTCCCTATGAATAATTGCAGCGTCTTGAAATTCTAAGAGTTTTCATGTGAGATCTAGTTATAGTTCGCTTCTCTTGATTGCTTGCCCAATATATTGCCCAAATTGGTTTCTTTAGTCCAAACGTGATATGAATAATAAATTCCTGAATCCAATTCCATTTTTTATGGCGATTTGAATAGGATATAGCAGGAAAGCTCTCCTATTCATGAAATTGAAAGCTCTGAAATTAAATATTCAGACTTCCCACTAAAAAGCATTTGAGTTGGGTGGGAAAAAAAACAATCGATTTTTTCATGGTGGCAAATTTAAGAACTACTTGAATCTTCTTCATCTCAATTGGCTACAAATAAGCTCCGCCAACAAGTTAAATATCCAATACTTGGCCACAAAATGATAAAACGCCAACTAATTGAGGGACGGCCTTGGATTTATCAACATTGTTATCTTTTTCTCGAGGGTTAATGCGGTACACAAAAAGAACCTGCATGCAAAAAGTCAGAGTAAAAAAACTAGATGCTTCATAGATTAATTTTTAAGCTTCCTTTCAAAAATCTATTATATCTCAAGCATGAACAAACTTCAAGCAGTGCTGAAAAATGCCAATCAAGGAAATGTCTTACAAATTGATTAATTATTTCAAACATCCGTTTGGATTACCTCAGGTGAACGGAGATAAACCGGATTCTTCAATTTTATCCCCGCCTTGTAATCAATTGCTTTTTAAATCAATATGGATTAATGCGCTGTCTGGCACGTTGCATGAATGAACGTAAGCTGAGGCTAAGATTTTTGAAGTTAGACAACGTAGACTCAAGTATGGTATTTTTGAACGCATGCTGTCTGCTAAGAAGTGGCGTTGTGGCGCATCGGTAGTGATGGTGCCCAGCAACCATATGATTGCGGGTTGAAATCGCAGGTGCGCTGCAATTTTCAAGGTTAGCTCTTGTAAGATAGCCATAGTTCATTTAATCTTAAATAATTAACCTCCAGGTTAGGCTTCTGGCTGGTTAACTAAAAAAGGTCGCTGTCTTTCTTATAACAAAGAAAAGATGGTTGAAATAAAATTCGAGATAAATTACTACAAACAATTAGTCGTATAAAGTTATAGTTTGATTCCACCTATGTGAGCACCAAAAATTTAAAAGTATAACCGATTGCCATGCAAATAGCACATAAGGTTCTGACCACTTTAGTTGAAAAGAAAATATTAATAAAAATTATAATGTTTTTTTGAAAGCAAAAAGTGAATTAGTAAAAAATGAATGAATGAGTGGTAATTAATAGCCAACCATTGTTAAAGTTTTAGTATGTTCAAATGTGAAGAAAACTTCCAGTCAAATTTCTCAATCTCACTTTGTTTCAAAAACGAAAAAATCTAAACCAGTTTTTCTCAAGACCCAAACATTTTTTTAAAAACTTTTCAGATGTGAATCACCTCTGAAAAAGCATTGGTATGATATTATAATTCACTCACTTTTGAGCTTTCTCTGAATTAAGGGAAACAAACGCTTCGAGACATTTCTGTGTGACAAAAGTGATTTCCGAAACTTTTCTGAAAAAAGTTATCTTTTCAAAAGTTGCCACTTTATTTGAAAAACTTGTGAATAAAATGTTTGCCAGCCTAATATAAAAAAGTTTTAAGCCATGCAATTAACAAAAAAAATAATGGACAATTTTCAAAAGAAAACCTGCGTCCTTCAGAAAAATCTAATAAAGCCACTGATTGTAACCTAAAAAAATTGATAATACTTGTATTAGTCTGAACCCTTAATAGTTTGAATGGCTATATTATTGATTTTTTTCTGATAGAAGGAAAATTTGTTTGGGGTTAAAAATTTTGAATTTTTTTTTCTGTTTTTGCCAGCTCTTATCTTTCATTTTTTTTCGCGTTTAGAAATGGTATCATAGTTAAATCGAAAAACCTAATATTATAGTACCCGAGCGATGTAGCTGGAAAAATTATTCCAAATGTTATGACTGAATAGGAATAATCATAAGTGAAGCTGATGGTTTCAACGTCAATAAAGTCTATCTGAAAATATAAAAAGTCTTTCAAAATTGGATTTATTATATCGAGTTATGATTGTTTAACGATAACGCTCAAATTTAAAATGCTTCAACTAGCCATACAGTCTTCTGCTTACCCAACGTTTGCAAATTTTCTTTTTGAAATAGTTTTTTTTTCTCGATTTTGTTTTGCTTCTGCTCAACTTATGCGTTTCAAACAAGCTCACCTTAATACTTTGAAAAATGCTTAACTTAAATATCGTTTCAAAGTTATTTTGATGAATATTTTTGTTTATTGTGCCACATTGTCTCAAAAAAAATCCTGCTAATTGAAATCTGTTCTAATCGAAAGTCTGGTTTTCAAAACGACGAAAACTTTTTTAAAATCTTTGTAAAAAATCGGTCAGATTTTTCAAAAGTTCAAATTGAATTGTTTGAGAAAGAATGATTGTTCTAGGCAGTTCTAGAAAAAATGAGCTTTTTTTGAAACTCCAAGTCTCTTTAGAAAAATATTAAGAGTTCAAATTAATGGGTAGGCGCTCAATTGGACATCTGTAGCTCACTGGAAGCCAGAGACGAGTCTGTAAACTTGTTACACCTTGTAAGTGGATTCCATCTACGAATATTTGTGTATTCTGCGTAGAAGTTCCTGTAAGATTATTATTTTTGGCGCATTAATTTTATTTGCGGATTCCGCAACAAACAAGTATGGCTATTATTTTGGTTCCGCAAATAAAAGCTTATTCAGCAAATTGTAAGCTGCTTCAGCTAATGTAAGAGGAATTCACAAATTTGTAATGTATATAAATAATGATGAAAAAAGATTTCTCAAATTGTAAGCAGATTCTGCAAACGTAAGAGGATACCCTTAAACTAAAATTTTTAAGGTAATGAAAATACATTGTTTGTGGATTCCACAAAATTTTCGGACCTCTCAAAGTTTATTGCGAATTGCACATGTTTGCTGGTTTTTGGAGCTAGTTTAGGCAAATTTTTTTTTTTCTATCTGTTCGTGCGTGGATTCCAAAACGGCAAAGACGATCAAAAAATTAGCAACCTTGCGTATTCCGCGACAAAATTGTTTGTTTAGCGTAATGAAAGGGTTTTGAAACATTTTGTTACATTTTCTTAAAAAAAAAATTTGTGTTTATCAATCAGTCTGTGTTCTATGCATATTATAAGTTTCTAATAAATTTTTGAATGCTTCAAAGACCTACTGATATAACTATAATTCATACCAATACCACATAAAATCGGGTCGTAAATGTGTCTCAGGTCTTACTGTTTTTCCAAGTTCAGCGAATAATCTCTCCTTTCATATTTTCTTATTTTCGATCAACAAACTTTAAAATGATAGACAGTTAATCCAAAGCGCAGAATGTTCCGACCACAACAATAAAAAAAATAAGTTAAAAAAATCTAACTTTAATTTTATGCAATGACGGGCAAATAATGTGGAAAAAAATTGTTAATTGAAATGTAATAGCAGCTAAGTTAATCCAAAAATCAAAATGACATTTTTCAAACTTGCATCGTGTCACTCGCAATTTGCGTGCCGTTTAGTCTGAAAACGGAAACTTTCAAAATCAAGCTTTAAGAACTTCTTCGTAGTAGCAGCTTCGTTGAAGTTAATCGTCAAAAAATATCTTTTTTTTTGCTCCTAAAGACACTATATTTTGACATTATTTGAAATGACATGCTTGAGAACCATTAAATGTTTTTTCTTGATACTGAGAATGTTTTTACAAAATTTTGTTTTATGTTTTTTTTTGTGTGTGTAGGAATGCGCGCAACTCACAATGAGACTGTTTTTTGGAACTTTTTCCTCTCTTTATTTTTGTGGAATACACGTATTGGGTTCGTGTGTTGGGTATTTTTTCTCAAAATTGAGAAAATTTTTATAGAAATTTTTCTGATGTTTCTTTTTGTTTTTAGGAATGCGTGTAACGGCGTGCGTGTGTTGGGTGATTTTTCGACACTGAGATTGTTATTTTTTAACTTTTTGTTCTGTTTCTTTTCCTGTAGAGGAATGCACGTATTGGGTGCGTGTAGTGGGTACTTTTTCTCGACACCGAGAAAGTTTTTATAGAATTTTTATGCTAGGTTTTTTGTTTGTAGGAATGCACGTAACTGTGTGCGTGTGTTGGGTGTGGTTTGGCTGGTGGCTGCCCTGGTCTCTCTGCCCCACTTCTTCACTGGATACATCTACTCAGACTCCCTCATGAACACTTGTGCCATCAAGTGGTCCTCCTACGACAGAATTCTCTCCACACTACTACCACCCAACTCAGGTAAGCCCCTTTCAGCCTTCTTTCTAATTAAGACTATAGAGACATTTAAATAAGCTCGCACAAGTACATGCCAAAATACATGCAATTAATTCCAACCAGGTGCAGATCTGGGGTTTTCTCCAGGGCGGAGGATTGTAGTGGGAGGCGTATAACGAACAACTTCATTCACTCAAATGTGGCTTTAAAAACTGGAGATTTCATATCATAAACTACGCCACCAATTAGATAATTTTGTCGATAATTTTCAAAATTTATTTTCAAAGCCCCCTCAAAACTGAAATGTTCTTACGATGATCATTCCACTTTGTTAATAATTTCAGATAGTTTGATTAGCCAACTTTTTTAGAATCAATTGACAGTTTTTTATCAAAGATATATCATTTTTTTCAGTTTTCAAAAAAATCAGAATTTCTTAATTGCTGAATAATGTTTGTTAGTAAAAATACATGTGTTGTAGCAATGAAAATGTGGGCAGTGGTTACTTTCCTGTTCACATATGTGGTCCCACTTAGCATGGTCGTTGGTCTATACCACAAAATACTCACCACCCTAAAAGAGAGAGAACAGAAGAAACACTCGGCCACTATCACTGCAGCAAACAACAGCAGTTATAATAACAATAACAACAACAATGACAATATTGCCACTAAGAAAAAGTCGCCAGTTGCAAAAAATCCCTCCCCTGCCTGCCTGATGATCAAAAACACGAATGCGACTTCCTCGACTGATAGAAAAAATGATGGCCCCACTTATAACCAGTGAGTTTAATTGAAATCTTAATTTAAAACTTATCAACAAAATAAGCAAAAACATTGCATGTAAATCAAAACCCGGGGCTTAAAATCAGCAGCGACTCTCCGTAAAAAGTTGAACAGCTTGTGTGACGATCCTTTTCAGGGCCGGATTTAGGGGGCGGGATGGCGGTGCATACGCCATTTTCTTAGGGATCTGACCCACTGTCGACCTAAAGGGTCCCCCCTTTTGGTACTAACCTATGACATCCAGTTTTACTGTCAACCTAAAGGGTCCCCCCTTTTGGTACTAACCTATGACATTCAGTACTAACCTATGACACCGACGCTCAAAACTATCTAAAAGCGCCTTCTAAACGCGCCTTCTTTGGTTAAAAACATCCAAATTTGCCTAAACACGCGTTTTTTGGCCTGTTTTTTTTTATTTGCCTGCGGTGCAAAAATGTTGGTCAAAATGAGATCTTTATAATGATTTCGGAGAGCTGGAAACATCAATTTGATTGACCAAAAAAACCTCGGGAAAGTTTTTAAAAATTTTCCAAAAAAATTCGCCCCCCTGAAGAAAATCCTGGATCCACCCTGATCCTTTCACTCGTCTTTAAAGGATCTTGATTGATACAGGGGCGGATTTAGGGGGGGCGATGGGGGCGAACGCTATCGTCCTCAGGGATTCGACCCCCTGCCGACATTAAGTGTCCCCCTTGTTTGTACCATTTGAGATATACATTTTTGGCTGAAGGACCCTAAAATTTTTCTAAAAGCGCCTTTGGCGCTGATATATACATTAATTTTGAGGAAGGAGCGCGCGCCAAAAAAACGCTCTATTTTTGTTCAAAATGGGCCTGCAGTGCAGAAAATTTGACCAAAACAGGATATTTTTAGTGTTTTGCGAGAGCTCGGAAAATCTGTTTCGTTGACTTAAAAAAACACGGCGACGAAATTTTTCGAAAACTTTTTTCGAAAACATTGAAGGAATATTCTAGTTTTTTTAAGAAAGCTTTTGAGCATGAAAATTTTGTGCGTGAAACAACAAGTTTGACCAAAATTGATATGAAATCGAGCAAAATCGAATCAAAACAAAACGTTTCGTATCAGGGCGAAGCCTTGAATGTTCCAACTGCCTTTTAAGGTCTATAGAGCAGTAATAGCTTGAAAAAAGATGTAAAAAATTAGAGGATATTTTTTTGTGAAAATCATAACCCCAGGCGTCATATGTGTGCAAAATGACATGTTTCGCTCCTTGAAACATATTAAATATGGCAAATCAGCCTCGTTCAACGAATTAAGAGAGCGATTTCTAAGACGGATTAAATCTGCGCTTTCGCGTTAATAGCGCAAAAATATATTGCGCGTTTTTTTGTCCCAAATGGGCCGATATGGAAATATTTCAACCCCCATAACTTTACAAGAAAATATCACCGGTGAAATATCATTTCAAAATTAAGCTCAAGACAACAATACCTTTTGAATGATATAAAAATTTCCGTCAAAATTGGCTAGTTAAAAATTCGAAATTTGTCTGAAAAAAAACAACCCTCCTGAGCACAAATATTCCGTTACTTTCGTTACGAAAGTCGGAACAATAAACTGATGCTTAAGTCATTGAAAAATTCAGATACGAGAACTTTGGAAATTTATGGCAAATATTATGGAAGAATTCAATTTCATTTTCCGAACTCTTCCAGAACACTAAAAAGATCTTTTTTGGAAAGAATTTTTGGGCCGTTGGCAAAAGTTAGAAAAAACATTGTATCTGCGTTTTTTTCGGCGCGTGTTACTTCCTTAAAAATATTAAATATTGGCGTCGACGACTTTTAAAACATTTAAAAGTACGTCAGCAAAAAATTGATTAGATACCTTTAGAATATTCGTCAGCAAAAAATAAATACCTTTAGAATATTCAAGAGTACGTCAGCAAAAAATGGATGTTATACAATCGTAAGAAAGAGGAAATTTTTTGGCTGGCGAGGAGGAAAGGGAGTTTCCCACTAAATCTGATACTCTGCTTACACCAGTAAATTCGAGAAACTTTCAGATAATTTTATCGAAATTGCATCTTTACAACACTAAGTTCTGCACAGTGTCAAAAAGATTGAAGATCAGAACTTTGATTAATATCATAGAAAATGTGTATGAATGGTTTGTGGGAATTCATTTTGTCTTTTTAATTATCTAAAAGTTGAATAGGGTCAAGAGATTGGCTAAAAAATACCAAACATAAATACAAACATTTATTTTTGGATATCTTATGTTGGTAGTTGAAAGTAGAAAAATACCCACATTCAGTTGAGATGGTCGAAACATGTAGGCTTGGGTGTAGCAACATCGAGCACTTTTTTTCGTCAAGAAAGTCGAAGAATAACTGAAATCAGCCGAGACTGTCAAAAACATACGCAAATTGGACGAGTTGGTCAAAACATTCGGTATATCAAATAATAAATTTGAGATACCGAATTTTATATTTTTATGAATAGATAATCAATACATTTGATCAACCGCTTTCAATTCAGTTTCTACTATAGAAATGGAGCAGCATATCTCTCAGTCGAGACAGACTTGGAGCTATCAACGTCCTGTGCGGGGACTGATCCGGGGTGTGTGGTTCGACAGAAAAATGGGGCGAGCGCAGGAATGAGTCAGCAAGCAGTGGCTGCTCGCAAGCGGAACGAGAGGACAGCCAAGCTGGTGATGATTGTGGTATCCGTATTTGCAGTTTGTCTCCTACCATTCCAGGTGACCAAGAAAAAGACCAAAAAACAGACAAAAAAAAACTTTTTTCGAATTATTTCCGATTGTAACGCCCCAGGAAAGCAAGCTCAAATGTTTTTTTTTGTGCTCAATTGATCAAACTATTCAAAATTTTGGCATGTTAGAGGGCGATGGGGAGCGTCTCCGCCTCTCAATCGAAAGGTCGGATGTTCGAGGCCCACCATGATCCATGCTCGTTGCTTAAGGATGAGGCAACCTTACCCAGCCCACAAAATTTATACTTCATATATTATTCATTTACTATGCTTTCTAATGGGCTCTAATCTTCAATCATCATTGCGTTTCCTGTTCTGGCAATTTTGATAAAAAGATTATAAGCATTTGCTATCAATAAGATTTTTTTTGCATTGAGATTGCATGTGTTTTAGATCCAGTTCCAGCTGTGGGCTTTTCTGGACACTGAAGCTCTGTATGAGGCCAGTCCTCTGGGCTGTGAAGTGAGTCTCAGACTGGTCTATGCATTCTTCTTCCTCAACAGCATCGTCAACCCATTCGTGTACACTTTCCAGGTAACTTACACTGTCACATCTATATAGGGTTGTTTTCTTGATGATTTTTTTTCTTTTTTTCCGACTTTAACGCCGCCCATTTGAACTTCGCTTTTGAAAAACTCATATAATATTGTCATAAATCAATGAGACTTGGCATGGTGAACATACTAACTATTGTGAACACATTAATTCTTCATTCTTTCTTCACCTTGTATCTTCAAACAGGTAGTCATAGTTAAACGTGAAAATAAAAAAATAATAAAAAACTTGAAATAAGGGGTGGAAGGGGTCGGGGTCCAGGGTGGAAAAATGCCTTGATTTTCAAAAAATGAAAATTTTTTCGACCTGTTTTAAAGTCAATCGAATATTTTTTGAGCTCACCGGACACACCCGAATTAGGCTATAAAAATTGAGCAACAGGCTCTCATTGGAAGGCTCTGACTATAAAAACTGTGCTTTTTTGTCGCGCTTTCCCATAAACCCACCTACATATATAGCCAAAAATTGAGGCCTCTCAAAACAGTTCCAAAAAGGGGACCTTTTGGGTGGTAATGCAACAGATTGCAGTTTACCAAAAGCATCCTCGGTTAATTCTATATCAAAGCCAAAATAAATGCTAAGAACTGTTTTATGAAATTCAGTCACGCAGAAAACGTGTAGTTCCATGATAAAAACTTCAAAAAGATTTCATTCACGCAAAAAGCGTGGTTCAATGGTAAAGACCACAAAAAACCCAGACAACCAGAAACGCGGCTCAATAATTAATACTCTTGATCTCAATGAAATATGACTAGCGTCAGGATATTTTGACTATGATCTCGCCAGCGCTTGAATAATCTGTTCAGCAGTTTATGTAGCTTTTTTGTCAAACAAAGCGTAAAATGAACTCAAATATACATGTATTTATAATGTCAAAACATTCTCATATCCAGCCGTGGAAAAAATTTTTTCATCAAAAATCTAGCGAATGATTCATTTGGAGCACACCTTTGCTTCGCTAGCTGAGAATTTTCTGAAAAATGATTTTTTTTATAAAATCGATTACAATGTTTTCTTTTCCCAAAAAATCTCTAAAAGTAAATTTCGTAACTTTTTGTTCCGACTTTCGATACGAAAGTAACGGAATATTTGTGCTCGGGGTGGGTTTTTTTTTTCTTCAGACAAATTTCGACCATTTTTGACGGAATTTTTTTGTATCATTCAAAAGGTATTGTTGTCCTGAGGTATATTTCACCTGTGATCATTTTTCATTGTTGTCCTGAGGTATATTTCACCTGTGATCATTTTTCATAAAATTATGAGGGTTTAAAGATTGCCATTTTGCCCATTTTGACCAGTTTGGGACAATTAACGCGCGATATAATTCGCGCTATTAACGCGTAAGCGGAGGTTTAAACCGTCTTATAAATCGTTCCAAATTGGTTGACGAAGCTTATTTGTCATAATTGATTTGTTACAAGGAACGAAATCTATCTTTTTGTACTTTATATGGCGTGTGGGGGGATGATTTTCATAAAAAATTTCAAATTTTAGAAAAAAAAAATTTCATTTTTTTTTATTTCATTAAATTTTTTAAATGTTATTACTGCTGCTCCATAAGCCTTAAAAGGCAGTCGGAACATTCAGGGCTTCGCCCTGATACGAGCAGTCTTGTTGTTCCGACGTTCGATACAAAAGTAACGGAATATTTGTGCTCGGGGTGGGTTTTTTTTCTTCAGACAAATTTCGACTTTTTAACTAGCCATTTTTGACGGATTTTTTTAATATCATTCCAAAGCCATTGTTGTCCTGAGCTAACGTTTGAAAAAATATTTCACCTGTGATCATTTTTCGTAAAGTTATGAGGGTTTAAAGATTGCCATTTTGGCAATTTCGACCAATTTGGGACAATTAACGCGCGATATAATTCGCGCAGTTAACGCGTAAGCGGAGATTTAATCCGTCTCATAAATCGTTCCTCATAAATCGATTAAGGTTTATGGAGCAGTATTAACATCAAAAAATTTAATGTAACAAAAAAATGAAAAATTTTTTTTTCTAAAATTATAAAAAAATTTTTTAATGAAAATCATCCACCCACACGCCATATAAAGTACAAAGGATATATTTCGCTGCTTGTAAAAAGTCAATTATAGCAAATAAGCTTCTTTCAACCAATTTGAAACGATTTCTAAGACGGATTAATTCTCCGCTTACGCTTTAATAGCGCGAAATATATCGCGCTTTAAAAGTCTCAAATTGACCAAAATGACAATCTTTAAACCCCCATATCTTTTTGTACTTTATATGGCGTGTGGGGGGATGATTTTCATAAAAAATTTCAAATTTTAGAAAAAAAAATTTTCATTTTTTTTTTATTTCATTTAATTTTTTAAATGTTATTACTGCTGCTCCATAAGCCTTAAAAGGCAGTCGGAACATTCAGGGCTTCGCCCTGATACGAGCAGTCTTGTTGTTCCGACGTTCGATACGAAAGTAACGGAATATTTGTGCTCGGGGTGGGTTTTTTTTTCTTCAGACAAATTTCGACTTTTTAACTAGCCATTTTTGACGGATTTTTTTAATATCATTCCAAAGCCATTGTTGTCCTGAGCTAACGTTTGAAAAGATATTTCACCTGTGATCATTTTTCGTAAAGTTATGAGGGTTTAAAGATTGCCATTTTGGCCATTTCGACCAATTTGGGACAATTAACGCGCGATATAATTCGCGCAGTTAACGCGTAAGCGGAGATTTAATCCGTCTCATAAATCGTTCTAAATTGGTTGAACGAAGCTTATTTGCCATAATTGATTTGTTACAAGGAACAAAATTTATCTTTTTGTACTTTATATGGCGTGTGGGGGGATGATTTTCATAAAAAATTCAAATTTTAGAAAAAAAATTTTCATTTTATTTTAATTCATTTAATTTTTTATGTTTTTACTGCTGCTCCATAAACCTTAAAAGGCAGTCGGAACATTCAGGGCTTCGCCCTGACACGAGCAGTCTTGTTTGAGTTTTCTATCCAATTGAGAAGTTGCTGATATGCTACTATAAATACTAGTGCCGCCAAAACTTCTTTTAGTTCTTATTAAAACCACGCCAAGCATAAATATTCCACTTTTTTCAAAATTGGGACCAATAAATTCGCTTAGCGCGTACTTAGTGGATTAATATGGCTTGGAAATCATTTCAAGGTCATTTTAGACGAGCGTTTGGTCTTGTTAAAGCGCTAGTAAAGAATAACCCCATTACATTGGTCTTCGCATAAAGGATAGTTGATTTGGATGGAAAATTGAAATGGAAATTAAAACCATAGTTTTTTTTTACTGAAAACAAACTCTTTCTCTGAGAACAATTGATCATACAATGATCTAAGTCTCAGTGTTCAAGCGGAACAACAAAAAAATAGTTGAGTAGTTCATCTTTTGCGCCCACGGGTTTCCTAATTTTTCAAATAGCATCAATTTTTCGTTCACTTTCTTAAAAATATCAGTTAAAACGCCTCGAACAATTTAATTTCATCAATTTCAAATGTAGAAAAATGTGAATGTGTTCATTTAAAAGTTTTTCTGGCTGCATTTAAAACATAAGAAAAAAACTTGATTCGAATAATGGGAAAGCAATTTTACTTTTTTTGCCGTAACAAAGATTTGACAGTGCCATCCAGATCAAAATCGCAAAACTGAGCAAACAGTCATGAAAAATTGTCAAGTTTATCTGCATTCTTTTTCATATGCGCACTGATTAATTCACTTAGTTAAAAATCGGCGTTAGTTATCGAATTTGGCCAATTCCACAATTCACCACAGGTATAAAAATCACTGAATTCTGTGATGAATCACCGAAGCATTAGCATGACAAAAAACGGAAAAGATCTCATTCGGTGCTACTTTAGTACCTATGAATTGGCAGTAAACCAGCGATTGATTTGGTCAAAAAGTTCTTAATTTGAAAAAAAAAATTTGTCGTAAAACATGTTTCTCAAAATACTGCATTGCGTAACAAAAATTTAGGGCGAATTGTTCAACGCCCACTGTAATTGTTAAGGAAAACTTGTAGATTTTCTTGCTTGAGAAATATATACTTGAAAAGTATTCCCTAGAAGGCATCTGTATTTCAGCTTTTGTTGTACTTTTGTTCTAGTCATACAGAATCACGACGTGTAATGTCAAAAGCATAAATTGTAACAAGACTGCGCGTATCAGGGCGAAGCCCTGAATGTTCCGACTGCCTTTTAAGGTTTATGGAGCAGTATTAACATTTTTTTGTAAAATTTTTAAAAGTGTTTTTAATGAAAATCATCCACCCACACGCCATATAAAGTACAAAGGATATATTTCGCTGCTTGTAAAAAGTCAATTATAGCAAATAAGCTTCTATCAACCAATTTGAAACGATTTCTAAGACGGATTAATTCTCCGCTTACGCTTTAATAGCGCGAAATATATCGCGCTTTAAAAGTCTCAAATTGACCAAAATGACAATCTTTAAACCCCCCTAATTTTACAAAAAATAATCACAGGTGAATTATTTTTTTTCAAACTTAAGCTCAAGACAATAATAAAACTTAAGCTCAAGTCGAAATTTGTCTGAACAAAACAAACCCACCCCGAGCACAATTATTTCGTATTTCGTAATATAAATTTCGTAATATAAAATTGCTTGTATCACGGCTAAACCCTGAATGTTCTGACTGCCATTTAACGTCCTTGTAGAGTAGTGTTCATTTTGAAGAAAAGATGAACAATTGAAAAAATAAAAAACGTTAGAGATTGTGTTCTGAAAATCGTCACCCCAAACGCTATGTAGAAAACAAAATGATAATTTTTGCATGAAGCAAAGTAAAAGAAAGACTAAGAATCATGTCTCAGATCAAATTGGTACAATTTCTAGCACTATTTAAATCTCCACTTACGCGTTGATAGCACGAAACACATTGCGCGTTAATTGTCTCGAATTGGCTTGATTGACAAGCTTTAAACCCCCATAATTTGCAAAAATCGATCACAGATAAAATATACATCTATATGTTTTTTTTGAAGTTTCAGGTAAAGACAACAATATTTTTCTAAGGATTTTCAAATAATTCGTCAAAAATTGCTAGTTGGGAACATAAAAATTGTCTGGAGTAAGAAAAAATTACCCCAGGCACAAATGTTCCGTTACTTTCTTCGACAGTCGGAACAAAAAATTAACTGTTTCAAATTTTGGAACCTAGGAAAAAAGAAATTGCAAGTCCCAGTGGTAACCCAATATTGAAGCGCTCTGATTCTTTAATGGAATATTGCTGATTCATCTCTGACAGAAACAATAATTGCTTGCATTCATTCATTGATGAAACCTTGCAAATTTAATGCTCAAAAAATTATCCAAGAAACAGCTCTGACTTATTGATGAAAAACATAAAACATAGTTATTAATAATTCAGCAATGATTATCTATTTAAATAAAAATTGGGAGTAAAGTTTAAAATTTGTATTCACTTTTAGGAATTTGGCTCAGCTCTAAAAAATTGATTTAAAACTGCACATTTTTTTATGGTAATAATTTTGACATCAATTAAAACTTCGTTAGATTTGAACAATAGATTTTTTTAAACAATAGATGAAATACTGGGATATTTTTTCATCAAATGAGTTTATATATTTCTTTTACATCAGGTCTTAAGGGGAGCGGTGGTGAAGTGGTCGGGGAGCGGTGGTGAAGTGGTTACGTCTCCGCCTCTCAAGCGAAAGGTCGGATGTTCGAGGCCCACCATGATCCGTGCTCGTTGCTTGAGGGTGAAGCAACATTACCCAGCCCAGAAAAATAACCAAAAAAAATTGCATATAATTCTTAAACAGGGGCACAACAGCGGTTCGCCGTGATGAGCTGTACAGCTCTTGTGTTGGTCCTTTCCCCCGTGGATAAATGGTCTTAATTAAGAAAGACTTTAACCTGGATGTTTCAATAAAGAGAACCAATTTTGTTTTCAGCTCGCCGGTAGTCATATAAATCCCTTTTGTTACAAATTTTTTTCGCGTTTCGTTTTTTTTTTCCAAAATTTTGATTTGCTATAAAAACATCGATTCACTTCATCGCCTCCAAAGTGAAATTCACGTTCGTCTTCATTGTTTTGAAAACTTTTCTCGCAGTAGTTGATCAAACAAATTTATTTAACCCACTCCTAGAACCATGTCCTCTTTTTTCAGTGTCAGCCCTTCAAGGAAGCCATGAGAGCATCAGCCCCCCAGCTCCTGCTCAAGGCAATGGACAACCTTGGAAAATGACTTCAGAAACCAAAAAAAGGGGAACTTGAGGAGGGGGGAGGAGGCAACTAGGAAGGACATTTGAAATTGACTATGTTGTCTAACGGGGAAACATCTTCGCGTGTTTAGAGTGTATTTATTTATCTCAATTATTAAGAAGAGAGTTATCCTTGAACGTCCATTTTTATATTGATAGTATAAACCAAACGACAAATCATTAACGTCTGAGACGTGAATTTTCGAAATGAGAACTTGTTTCATTTCTTAAAATTGATTGATAAAATGTATTGTTTGAGTTACTTGAAAATTTATTAAGTTAGATTTTGAAAAAAAATGATAGTTAAATTGAATCAATTTATTAAATTAATTATTTTTGATGATCTTGTTTTAAACACCGTTGAAACCCAATTTGGAGAACCGCAAGAAGCCCTAGAAAAAACTACTAAATTTTCCTTGTTTCAACTTTCAAAATGACGAAAACTAGTTCAAACTATCCAAAAACAGTTTTCTAACAAGTTGTCATGCTCGCAACTGGAGTGAAAGCTTTCGGAATTCTACAATGTCCTTTTTCAGCTGTTTTCTAGTTAATGGAAAACTAGTGAAAGCATAGGCGGCTCTAGGATTTTCTCGATGGGTGAGCGGATTTCCAATTCAAAACTTTGTCAACTTTTTTTTAGGTTGACGAACTTTATTTTCCGAGCTCGCCCAAATTGCTAAAAAGACCCTGTTGTTTTGGCTAAAATTTTAGGCACTTTTGGGACACTTTTTAGGTAATTTTTGGACTGTTTTGACCAAAAATTGTGTTTTTTTCGATGTCCCGCACTCAAAAATAGTTGATACAGACGCCCAAGGCTCTCATAAACATTTTAGAGTCACTAGCCAGCCAAAAATGAAGGATGGAGACCCTTTGGGTAGTCAGGGGGTCGAATCCCTGAGAAAATGGCGTCCGCCCCCCACCATCTCCTTCTAAATCCGCTACTGAGTGAAAAAGACTTTTCGGCGAAGTAATTTAACGAGTTTGGGTGACGTAAAATGGCTTATTTCACATTCAAAACAGTTTTTTACACATTTAATAATAATAAGCGTAGCAAAATGTTTCCACTATATGTCGGTCCAGGGGCGGATCTAGGATTTTTTCGAGGGGGGGCGGATTTTCAAGAATGTTTCGAAAGTTTTGACGACCTTTTTTTTTTAGGTCGACCAAATTGATTTTCCGAGCTCTTCTAAAGCACTAAAAGGTCCCTGTTTGGCCAAATTTTCTGAGCCGCAGGCAAATTTTTGAAAAAACAGGTAAAAAAGCCGTTTTTAGGCACTTTTTGAAAAATTTTGACAAAAAAATCGCGTTTTTTTTGGCGCGCGCTCCCCCTCAAAGTTAGTATATATTGGCGCCAAAGGCGCCTTTAGAAAAATTTAAGGGTCGGCCGGCAAAAAATGGATTTCCTAAAAAGTACCAAAGGGGGGACCGTTTGGGTCGGCAGGGGGTCAAATCCCTGAGGGGGGGCGTCCGCCCCCCCGCCCCCATGCTAAATCCGCCCCTGGGTCGGTCCACTTTTATCAAATAACTTTTGAAAATTGATTATCCTAAAAAAAATCCAGTCTGTGAGATTGTCATTAAACAAACTATGCCTGTTTACACTTGCGATGCGATTTTTAGTGAGCGTTATTGTTATAGTACGTCTTTTTCTTATTTTTTCTAACCAAGTCGCAAAATTTGATGCCAATTTTGGGGCATCTTTACGGTTTTTTGATTCCATGTGGTTTGACTTTCGATTAGTTATAAAGTAACACAAATGATGCATTTTAAAATCATCAAATAAACCAAAAAAACTATTTGTTTCAGACAACATAACAATAAAAAACACTCGTTCTTTTTTCTATTTCGTTTTCTGAAGCTGCTTTTTGTCGTATTCTCGTTTCGCTTCTTTGTAAAGAAATGGAAACATTGTGTCAAGTATCTAAGTAACCGGAAACATTTTTTTAATGTTTGGTGGATAAGTGTAATTTGAGGAAGGATTACAATTTCAATGTATGAATCACAAATGAACTAGTGGCGCCAAAAAATACAACAAAAAAATTATGTACAATTTTAAACTTGCCATGGATGCTTTAATCAGGAACTAAGCTCATAGATTTATGAAATATTTCCCTTAAAATTTTTTAAGAAATTGGTAAATATACCGATTCAAAATGAACGAAAACACACTTCAGTCAAACAAGTTATAATATAAAAATACATTAAAAAATTTTGAACCTTTGAATTTGATGACTGCAAAACAATTTTTTACCACTTTAAACTATTCAAGTGGTCAGTAGATTCATAGCCAAACAACCTACAATGCTACAACATTTTGCTGAGTTTTGCAATCAACAAGAGCGTACTTATTTTTCCGACTCGTGTTTGTTTTTTCTCCAGAAAGTTTAAGACTTTTTAACTATCAATTTTTGGCGGAATTTTTTACATTATTTGAAAACGATTGTTGTCTTGATCTCAAATCACCTATGATCATGTTTTGCAAAGTTATGGGGTTTGAAAATTGCTAACTTGCGTAAATTGATAATTAACGTGCGATATTTTGCTTCTAATAACATGCGTAAACGGCGGATTGAAGCAGCCCTTAATTATTAGGATACGAGTCGCTAAAAACATACTTTTGTAATTTAGCTGCTGCGTTTTAGTTTACTTTATTTTCTAGTTGTGCACTTAGCATGTGGGGGAATAAATTGAATGGGAGATGCAATGTCACTTTTTATTCCCTCATTTTCGTACCCTTACCCAGGGAATTTCCTTTGCAAGATCTGAAATTCTTTATTTCTTACATTAGTTGATTCTCAGATCTGAAATTCATGACTGAAAAACAAAATTTCAGGTTTTAATTAGATCTGAAAAACCTTTTGTTAAATTGCAATTTATGCATTTTGAGCAAACAATTGAATTTTTATTTTTTGATGTTTCTGCAATACACAATTATCTTAAGATTAACTAACGGTATAAAAAACTTCCGAATAAATTCACAAACTGTTTTTTTCCAAATAAATTTCTTGTTCAACTGTGATAAAATGTTATAATAAACTGTTAAAACACATCATATCTTTGATTGACATGCACTTGCACTGTTTACGCGTTTCCAATGTCTATCTCATGCTTGGGGAAACATATTTTGGCCCCTACGGAGAGGTTTCAAACCGCAATTAGGAGGCTAGTGCAAATTTACTTTTTCTGAAAACGGAAGACCCCAGGATAAATCCCATCGCTGTAAACGTGCATAAAAAAAACGCATCACGCATTTTTGTTCCTGATTTTCTCCAAAGTTTGGAACAAAAACCATAGAAGAAATTCAAGGGCTGTTAAGTGCAGAATCGAGCATTTTACATGCAGCGCTTAGCAAATTTGATTTAAACTAAGCGCTGGGGTGGAGGATCTTAACTTGGTCTATTGGAGGGGAGGGGGTGGGGGGGGGGGGTGGGGGGAGGATGTTAAGTTGATTCGGTTAAGTAAATAAAAGAAAGTAAGTAAAGCCACAAATATATTTAAGTTTGCTAACACAGCTCAGCATGCTAACGTATTCGGGTCCTAAATCTCACCTGATTGTTGGGAATTTCACAAATGCATCATCTATTGAGACCTGTGAAATAATGATGCCTTCTAAACCCTTTGATTCTGGCGCGCTATAAAAGTTCCGAAAAAGGGCCAATTTATCTTCCATTTTTGGTCGAGAAGGACCTGGAATAATCTGTGACCGTTTTGAAGCATTGCATCAACTGTGATCTGTAATTCGTGGCATAATTAATATTAAATGTTGCTTTTTTTGTCTCAGTAAATAGTAAAATGTCTCGCTTCTCCAAGCTCTTAAGACTTTTTATTTTTCTCAGGTTCTTTGTTTTTCCTATTTTGGTGTTTGCCCTGGCGGAATGCTTGAAAGCGCTTGTATACCCCTAACCACATGTAGACCGAACAATCTTCAGTGTATAGGCTCCTTGAGCTCCAGTCCAATCTGTGGTAATTTGAGAGCGAGCGCAGTTTTTTATTCTAAATGTGGTTAACTTTTTGGCATTTTTTTGCTTAATTTTGACAAAAAAAAACGTTGCCTGGAGTGTAGAAATTGTCTTGTTTTGATGTTTTAGTAAGCTCAGAAGATGTTTTTGGTCGACCTGGAAAAAAGTCGAAGTTTTTCAATAAAGTTCAACAACATTTTCGACAATTTTAAAAAAAAATGTTTTTAACCCTTTACTTTGAAAAAATTATCCTGATTTTTTTTGTTTAGCTAATTTCTTAGCTAATTAAAATGTAGCGTGTTGGAAGCCTAGGATAGGTTTCCCGGATAAAAAATCATGGTTTTCCCACATTTATCTTGATATAACAGATGAGGCAGGCCCATAATCATGGCTTAACTTGTGGGCATTTTCTTTGTTCATGCTTAGAGGTTAAAGTTCAGCTGACCAGTTTTCAAACAATAAATAAACATTAAGCAGTCCAGGCATGGTTCTTAGTTTAAAAAAAACCTCGAAAACTAAACGCCAGACTTTTGGACCAATCCAGAAACCGCAAGTCAATCTTTGCACGACATTGACAACACTCTTTTCCTAGTCAAGGATTTGCCACAGGGCTTCAGTTCCCTTGTTAGATAGCCAGGGCATGTCAGAACATTAGGTTCATCTTTGGAATGAAATAGCAAGAGAATCAGAAATTGAATAAAATGAGCTGATCCTCTCACAGGTCAAGGTTAAAGTAGGGTCAAGGATGAGCCAAGTGTCAAAACATTTGTTCAAGAAAGATACATAAAACCTCGATAGATTTGCAAATAAATTGCATATTGGCACCGATCAATTACTTCAACCTTAACTTGCGTTGAGCTCAGTTGTTGAAAGCCTTTGAAGTTTTTACCAACTAGTTTTTCCCAGTTTTTAATTTAAAGTCCAGCCAAAAAAATCGAAGTTTCTTTCAATTTTTTATCAACTTTTCTCAAATTTAAAAAAAAAACTAACTTTTCTTGTTTCTTTCTAGTGCAAAGTTAGCTGAAAAAAATCAACTCAGCGCCGAGGAAAAACACTAACCGCTGAAGTCTCTATAACAGCAAAGTTAGCTCGAACCAATTTTTGTCCTTAGCTGACAAAACTCTTCGCGTTTCAACTCTTTGCCGCATGAAAGTTTTTAGCGCCTCGGTTACTCTCTCGATAATCAATTCGTATATTTTACATTTTCGCCTAGCAGAAACCCGAGTAGTGAGTGAACAGCATGGCGGGGGTTCAAATAGTAGCATCACAGACGATAACAGAAGCAGGAACATCTCGG